ATCAGTATTTAGTGTTTGATTCTGGGTAAAATGTCAAAATTTTAAGTACTCAGATTCAAGGCAGACAGATCCTTCCTCTTTAGGATTATAGAGCTACACCATCTTCTCTCCTTTACTGATATTTAGCACTGTTTTTTTATGCCTGTAGTTCTCAACTATTTTTCTTGCAACCTTTTAAGAAAATTTCTAGGTTTGTCTGATTCAAAAGATGAATTGTAGAAGTGAAATTTGCACAAAGATCAATATTAAAAAAAAAAACATGAATCTGCTAATCTATGACTTCCATGACTGACTGAAACAGAAGAAAAATTGAACCTGGGATGAGAAGATTGTGAAACAGTATAATCTCTCATTTCAGAACCATTTCATCTTGCAGTATTTTAAAACAAATATTGTAAATTAGTTGCACATAGAGAATAAACTGTCATATTTTTTTCTGCCAAATTTATGTACACACACACACACACAGGTGTTTGTATGTGCATCTTGCTAATCAAGTCATTCAGTGAGTTATGTGCCATGCGTGATACATGCTGAGACGATCACGTATCTTTCGATACATGACTGATGAAGCAGATTTTTTCTCACAGTAGGTTGCCATTTCTTTCTGCAGTAGACCAGTTTCCATCAGGCTATAGAACAGTCTCTCCTTCTATTTACACATAGCTGGTGGAGGGGTGGGGGGAGAAGAGGATTCATACCTTTCCCAAAGCATGTATGTAAATGTAATGGATTTGACTGGAATTTGAACTCGGCTCTCTGATTCCTCAATCTGAGCCGCTACCCATTACTCCGCTATGCCTCCATCATCAAGTCATTACAAGAATTTAGATTTCAGCTACCTAATATTATATCTACTTTCTTTTAATATAATTTTATCATTTAAAATTATTTATATAATCAAAATTATTTAAATAATTTTAATATTTTTAATATAATTTTAATATTCTTTTAATTTATTTTTATAATATACTAATTTTATAATTAATCAAGTCATTACAACAGTTTAGATTTCAGATACCTGAAGAATGTTTCAACATCTACCAGAACTTTAAAATAATGTAAGATTCTACATACTTACCATTTGTTAGCAAAAGCCTGCAGGTGTAACTCTTGTAAGTAATCAAGAGAAGACCCACCCCCTCAAAAAAAAAAAATAAAACAACCAAAACAAATACACACACATACTTGAATGAACAAAAAAAAAATGACTTTTTTATTGACTGTTTTGACAAAGTTCAACCTGCTACATTCATGATTAGTGAGCCATAGGTATGGTCCATCTGCTGCAGTCACTGTCACCAGCTGCACTTGGTAAGGTTTCTAATCAATGGTTGTTATGCATGACTGATTTGAGGATAAGCAATTATCAGTTGCTTCCATTCTTTTAACAACCAAAAACTTTTATGCTTAGCAATTTCCAAAAATGTTAGTGCATGTATGTGTATATATATATATATATATATATATACACAGGTACAATGAGAATGAATAGAGTACACTTCCAACATTTATAACATTTAATTTAAAACAGAGCTCAATGTATCGTAGAGCAATATTATTTATTTTACGATATTACAACAAAAACATGTAAGGATCATTAGACAATTGCAGTTGTGTTCCAATACATAGCAATGTTTCTCTTCTCAGGCAATTTTAAATTGGTTTGATTTCAAAAGCAAAATAGCACCTCATTTAAAAAAAGAAAATTATAAAATAAAAAATAAAGGCTTCAGGGCTAAAGCTTTATTTTTTCATTTTAGAATTTTTTTTTCTTTTTACATGTTTTTGTTGTAATATCCTAAAATAAATAAATAAATATATACATGTGTGTGTGTGTATATATATATATACACATATTTATTTATTATTAGTACATACATATATATACATATTTATTATTAGTACATACATATACATATTTATTATTAGTATATATATATATATATATATATATATATATATATATATATATATAATTAATTTTTTCATTTTGTCATTTTTCTTCATTGTAGTAAAGATGATTAAAAATTTTTCACTAATTGTAATTAGTAATTATTCCCTCTAATAATTTGCAATTGTATACTGAGAGAGAGAGAGAAAGGGAGAAAGAAAAGGTTAAAGGAAAAATACAGAAAAGAATGAAAAATTAAAATGACATATAGATAAAGCGAAAATAAAGAAATAGATAAAGCGAAAATAAAGAAATAGAAAAAAAAAAAAGAAAGAGACAGAAAATGGGAGGACAACTGAATAATGTGATAATGAATTGCTTTTTAGTAAATTCCTCTTCTGCCTAAGTTTTTGGATGTAGCGGTTAATCTTGGGAATATTTTTGTGATAAAAATGTGGGATGAAAATTAAGAAGAAAAATAAGTAAAAAGAAAAAGAAATAAAACAATAAAGGATACAAAATAAAAGAAGAGACTTTTGGCAAGAGATAATGGCAGAGTTGGAAGTGCCAAAATAAAATCAGGAGTCTGGCTGAGATTTGGTGCCACTGGCGAAATTTAAGAGTACCAAAATGTAGATTCTACACAAATGTCCATTTCTATTATGTTTGTTTTGTTTTAATGTAATTCCAGTTTAATCAGAATGGAAGTTTTGCCTCTTGTTTTATGACAGAGAAAAATAATAGTTATTTACAGGAAGGATATATTCTGACCACATTACAGTCCTTGTCTTTTAAAAAAAAAAAAAAAGCCTGTTTTTATTATTCTATGAATTATTTAGACTAGCAGCCTTATCTTTGTTTCCTAATAAATAATATTAGTAAAAAAAGAGAAAACAATCAATGTTGTTGTTTTAAATTTTGAGAGAATGTATTTTCATTATTCCACATTTTATTCAAGCTAGTAGCCTTATCTCTGCTGTTTGTATCAAACTTTTTGAGTCAATAAATTGTTTGGCTTTCCATCAGCATTTGTTATTTTTTCTTTTCATTCAACAATTTTTAATACTAAATTTCACCCAGTACAAGGCCTGAAAGTAAAGGCTTATCATAATAAAAATAATGATGAATGAGGTGTGTGACATGAACAAAAGAAACAATGGTAGAAAATGAGAAGGAGGAAAGAAGACAACTGACCCTTGACTTGAAGAGGTCAAGATTGAATGTTCAGGGAAAGATCCATTCAGGAGTCTATTCCACAAAGTGTCTGTTCTTGAAGAAAAGTTAACGGATTAGAATTTTCTTCTTACATTTGGCATATGGGGAGAATGAAGATGATTCAACTCTGTGGAAGTAGCATAGTATGTCCTAGCTGTAAAGGTCTGAACTGGCGGAACTAAAGAATGAAGCTCATCTGAACATTTTCCATGGAAACAGCAATATATGCTTGCTACATTGCAACTTCTTTCCCACCTACACAGGATGGAAGATAAATCTTCCCCAACAAGAATATGTAAATGATTTTAAATTCTATCAAGTCTGGAATGTGAGGATTAAGAATTGTAAGATTTTTTTTTCTTTTTTGATGGGGAAGATGATGAGCCACCTTTATTTTTCTTTAAATGTTTGAGTAAATATGTCAACTGACAGTGAATACAACTAAGGCTACCAACATATATTTTGTATACTCAACATTACATTCTGCATCGAAAGAGTTTATAGAACTTAAAATAGTATATTTGTGTATTGTAGCTTGGTGTTTGTTCACAGATAAACAATTAAAGAAGAAACATACAAAGACTCGAGTTTCTACTATGGATTGCTTATTCTACTTTTTTATATAAACAGTAATGAAACAAGTTCTCAATGTCTCTTGGGTAAGACCATTTTCTTTTCCTGGCCCAGAAGTTAGGGTAAGTAAGGATAAGCATCATTAAAATGGTCAAGCCTAAGTCAGTCTTGTGAAGATTAGAAACGACCAAAGAAAAGTTTGTACTTACTTTAATGTTGGAGTGTTGGCATGGTTGGTCATGCTCAAGTCATCTTTGTGCTGAGTTGGAACAACCAAAGAAAAATTGATTTATTTCATAAGTGGAAGTTTTGGAGTGTGAATGCTATGCATTGGAAAATGGAAATAGAGTTCATGTTGTAGCATACCTACAGACAATAATGGGTATGCCCCCATTCACATAAATACAGTAGTAAATACTGTATGTTGGTCTGCAGTTGGAGATTCATTGTGGAAGTCACTTGACTCACTTCTAGCAGTTGACTACTACTTCTATGTGGCATTGGTGAATCTCATATGTGTTGTTCTTGTTCTAAGTATTATCGTTTATTACCAATCTTTGTTTGATTATTCTATTCAGTAACCTTCCTTAGGTTACAACAGTTCAGTTGTCAGTGGACCAGGCGGGGTGGGAGAAGAAACGTGCCACAACAGTACATCTTGGAGGAAGAGGAAGGAAATGTTTGTTTTTTTATATACTTAAATAGCACCACCTGATGGGCTTTTAATGAAGCTAAGTGGAGTAATAAAATTTTTCAGTTCCTTTATATATTAGGGAAAAATGTATTTCTTTATCTTTCTTTTTTTTTTTTTTTTTTTGTTGTTGTTCATCATTACTATTTGATTTATTTCATTTTCCAACAAGATTACTTGGGCAGTGTCAGGTGACCATGCTGATGACTATCTACAAAATTGTTTTTAATTTTTATAGTATAAAAAAACAAGACTGGCAACAGAAAGAAATGCTAAAATTAATTTCTTGCAAGTCAATTGATTTGTTTGAGGAAATAGAGGAATCAAGTGTTCAGATAAGTGTTTGCCTTCCAAGTACCATTTAATTGTTCCATGGAAAATTGCAGAGTTATAGAATTTACTTAACTGACTACCTTTTAAAAGTTTACAGTGGAGCAGGGAGAGAGCTGAATTAGTCTCCCAGAAAACAGATTAGTATTGATTAAATAAAGAAAGTTTTATCTGTCATGACAACTCTCTTCTCCATCTGCCAACCTACTAACTACAAAAAGCAAAATAAAAGGGAATACCCACAATGATTAGTGAATCTAGATTTATTGAATTACATTGTGACATGGCAAACTATACAGTTTGTAAGCTATGGAACATAGAAACTATAAGGGTAATATGGACAAGCAGAGACAGATAAAGAAAGTCAATGAGAAATGCTGTTGAACAGTGAGTGAGATGAGAGAAGGAAAAGAAATTTAGCCAGTGAGACAGAAGTAATAAGACAGACAAATTTGGCAACTTCATATAACAACAAAAGGTTTGGGAGAATATAAAATGGTTCTTTATTCAGCAGGCAATCACCACTTTATATATATATATATATATATATATATATATATATATATATATATATATATATATATATTCAGCCAGCATAGCAGAGAGTTCTGCCCTTGCATACAGACTTGTTCCCTAATGTCAGCCCACATGAAGTAATGAAGCCCTCTGTCGGTTCATACCTAAACTAGGGGGAACAACTCTCTTACAAAGTCGCTACATTTTCCATTATCCTGCATCAAATTTGTTAAATAAAATAGCATTAGATTCATTTTTTTCCTACTTGAAAACTTATATTTTAAAGTATATTGAACATTACTCACTATGAGATAATACAATTAAGAAATCAAATTATTGGATTTGTTATTTAGATGTTTCTCTTTAGCCATCTTGTAATTAATAGGTTTTGAAAGATGATTCTCTTTTTTTTTTTTTTTTTTTTTTACTTGATTTGTAACATTTTCTGTGCAATAAAACTTTTGTGTTGTGCTTGACAATTTTTCTTACCAGAATCTATCTTAACATATTTTTAAATCTACCATTCATTCTGCTGCCATATCTGGTCTGGTTCTTCTGCTATATATTTAGAGATTCTTGATAAAAATCCAAAGAAGAATGTGCAATGTTATGGGTTCTGACCTGGCACCTCACCTTCAATTCTCTTCTGACTTCATGCTTCCCTGTCAACTTTAATCTCCAAAAAGTTAAATTCATTATCTTTTGTCTTCTTAATTCTTATCCTTTTAATGTTCTCTCTCCTTAAAAGTGCTTTTTCTTCCCATTGTCTAACACTTGGTAACCCCTTGCATCTTAGTGGTTTTATTGCCTTGCTTGAGGTGAAATGGAAAAATAGGATTCTGATTCTAATCTGTTTAAGAAGTTGAATCCGATGCTTAAGTGAAAGATAACATATATGTCTTTCCTTGGCTTAAATGATTTACAACAAAACCTATTCTAAACAAAATAATAATGACCGACCCGATGTTGGTCATTATTACACCATAACAATAAACAAAATAATTCTCAAAACAATAATTCTGTCTGGTTATGTCCATATAACTTGAAAGATTACAAAATTAAATCAGCTTACAACAAACCCATTGCGAAAATGTTCACTCAGGCTGAATCCTAATTGCCTATACGATGTTCTTTTTTTTTTTTATTATTATTATTATTCTTGCTGCTACTGCATAAACTGGTATTCCAGCTGGCAGACATAAATCCATCCAAAAATTTACCAAGGTAGCCCCAAAGTTTTGCATGCCAGTATATTTTATAATTACATGAATTTTCTGACTGCTCCTGATAAGGTAGAGATGGCATCACAGTAAATACAAATAGTTTACCTATTTGTTTGCTTTTAGATAAAAAGACTTTTTGCTTTTTTTTTTTGCTCTGTTAAAATGACATATTCACTGACAGAATTATCTTGCTTGCTCCCCTTTGTTCCAGAATCATTTTAAAAAGAGTTTTGATTTTCTTAATAATATGAAATGAAACATATTTGCAAGATGAAGAAACCGCTCCCTTTTTTGTTTGCTGCACTATAATTTTTAATTAAGGAGGCCTTTTTTTTTTTTTTTAATCATTTCACCCCAAGCAAGGTGATAAAGTCATTGTCACAAGAGTTACTGAATGTGAAAGAATCTGAGAAAAAAAAAATTAAGAACAGGAATTAAAAAGACAGAAGATAATGATGAGACCTAGCTGCCAATCTAGTAATGTGCTTCAATTAAAAAAGCTTAAATAAAAGAATTTTCCTCACTGAAAATAACCTAAAATGCAAATTCTTTTTTATTAGTCCACATCATGAAAGCTTTACACTGAAGTCTCGGTCAGGAGACAAACAAAACAAACTAAGTTGTTCTATTAGAGATGCAAAGAATACTGTGTCCTGCCAATGGATATTTCTTTTTTTTCTGATTGTAACTTTTGACAGCATCTTGGGGTGAAAATGCAAAAATTTGACAACTAAAAAAGACACAACTAACAACTTAACTAAAAAAGACATACAAAACTGACCATTCAGAAGAATGATTGAAATATTTTGATTCTTCAAGATTAAAGGGTTAATAAAATTTGAACCCAAGCAAACATCAAGTTTCTGGTCATCAAGAAAAAGAAAATGCAATATTTTTCTGTTTTTCCCCCCCTTCAATACTTTAAAATTTTGGATATTTGGTTTTTTTTTGTTTGTTTTTTTTTGCTGAGGACAACATAAAAAGTCCCAGAAATCCATCCATTTTAAAACTTACATAACAAAATTATTTTTCCTTCTGTGTAATGGTTTTAGAAGAATTATTTTGTTAAGAATAATAACTATGTATCACTCTCTGATTTTACTCCAATCCCACTAATGGAAGGAAAAAAAAAGAGAATTAATTTTAGAAAAATAACTAAATATAAATGAAAGTGAATAAATCAAGTAAAAATCAACTCTAAAATGCAATGTTTCAGGGCGAGGCATAAAGGACATTTAAAAAAATTCAGTGTCAGTTTTTCTTTCAATTTTTCCCTACTTGCAAATTAAAAGGAAAAGTGAAACAAAAAAAATGTAGGATTTTTGGATGTACATATTAACAACATTTTTTTCTTTTTAATCTTTTTGTATCTTAAGAAAAGATAAAAATATCTTCCACTTTCATTTTTCAATTTTCTTTCTTTTGCTTCCAAAACATTTCTAAAATAAATACAGTTTGAACACTATTTTTTAAAAGTCACTTTAACTTAAAATACACTTTCACATATATATATATAATCTATGCGTGCATGCATACATATAACCTACACACACTAACTAGTTTGTTTTATTAATATATAAACTAAATAATTTTTGGAATCTAAGCATTTATCAGCAGTTATGATGAAAGCCATTTCATTCTGCACATATGTAAACAAACAGTTGTTATTTGTGTGAAATGTTCTGAATTTTAAAATCTCAAATTAATAATCACACTGTGAATTTGAAGCTTTAAAATGGATCTTAAGGCTGATTTGACAGATAAGGATAATGTTTCATGACTTCAGAGCTGGAAAGGTTAAAGCAACATTGAAAATTGCATAAAAATGATTGACAGGCATACTGAACATCTTGAAAAGGTTTATTAAAGTTTTTGGATGACTCTGATGAAAGTCTTATTAGGATAAGTGTCCAACATCAAGAGAGAAGTTACTTTTAAAAAATCCATTTTTGTTGAGCCGTTAAATTTTTAGGTCTTGTGGCAAAAAGGAAAGATCTTAAATTGAGTGGCTAAACAAGTGAAACTGGACTGACAGAACAAAAGCTGGTTGGTGACTGGTGAAAACTGGCCTCACATGTTAAAATGTCAACAATGTGGTGGTGGTGGTGTGAGTATGATATTCTGAGGTGGATTTAAAATGGTGACCCCAGGACAAGTTCCAAAAGGCATGAGCAGGTCATGCTAACCTAATTTCAGAAAACTGCTTATTTAGATTGAAAAATGTTTTAAACTGATATTAGAAGGGAAAACTTTTACAACAAAATTGTTCAATAGCACCACTAAATATATATATATATATATATATATTTATAAATTTTCTTTACTTGTTTTGGAGGTTTTTTTCCTTTGGACTCTGAACTTGGATTTTGGACGATTGTTTTCGCCTCAATTTCATGTTCTTAGTTCTTTCTTTTTTTATCCCTTATTTTTCCTTGGGTATTGGTTTGTTCATTTACAAGCCAAAACACCTGAGGTTTTTCCAAAAGAGTATAACTATTTATATTATTATTATATATATATATATATATATATATATATATATATATATAAAACAGAAACATTTACTTATGGAAGATTTTTACACAATATTCCTTGCTATAGCAATAAAATTATTTAATACATGTCATCAAGCCTTTTCAGATATGATGTCATGTAATGATGCGCTAAAGAAAGAACAATTTCAAAATTTAGTTAACATCAAAAATTAACTTTTTTAATGTAATGTATTTTAGAATATATGTGTGTGTGTGTCGATTTAACTAAAAACATATCTATAAAAAGACAATACGAATAAATATAAAAAGAAAACTCAGCCAACATGTTTTGTCCCCTGATGGACTTTATCATGGTAAATATCCTTACATTTGCCTTAATAAAATTCCTCAGAGAAAATGCATTTGCTAAAATAAGTTTTTCTTTTGAATATATATATATATATATATATATATATATATATATAAATTGGGATTAAATTCAGATCAAATATGGATCAAAATCCAACATAATGATAGGATAAGAAGCATTTATCAATCTAACATGTTTCGACTTAATTAAAGCTTCAGAGAGTGAAATATGGAGCAAAAAGAAAGTAATAGAAAAAATTCTGGTATTTTTATTGTTTGTTTTTCATTATTTAAGCAGACTTTACATGCATCTGTCAGCATTCATGTGCATAATTCATGTGTGTAAGTATATCATAATTCTAGTTTGTCTATGCTGGATTCGGATGATAATGTATATTCCTGTGTGTGTGTGTGTGTGTGTGTGTGTGTGTCTAGAAGGCATTTTTATTTACATATAGTCGTTTTTGACATGTTGATTTGGAGACATATTTATGTAACACCAGCTGTAGTGGTGGTAGTAGTAAGTAAACATATCATAGATTCTTTAAGTATGGTTTTTATAAAAGTTGGTGATGTAATAGAGTGTGTTTGATATGTGTTTATTGATAAAATAAATATTTATCAGAATTCCCTCAAAGTATTTCCTATGTAAAGAATTACATTCTTTTTTTAATTAGGGTGGCAGTTATAAAATCAAAGTTATGGCCAGTTTTATTCCTGTGTATTATAAGCCATTTTATAGGGTTGTCCCAACATAGGTCTCTCTTATGTTCATAGATGTGGGCTTTCAGATTCCTTGATGTCTCACCAATGTAATTATTTCTACATTGCAGGGACTGTATTTCATAAATCCTGGTATCTGAAATGCTGTCAGATCTATTTT